CGGAATCCTCTATAGGGTAACGATAATCGATACACAAAAAAAGAGAGAAACGGGCGAAACTGTGTCTTCGCTTCAGTGACGGAATACCTCGTGGTGCGAATGTGTGAAGCAAGAGAGTCTGTGGAATACGATTCTACTTATTTCGTGGATAATATCACTCGTTCGAATCCCGATTTAAATAAGCGTCGCTTAGAGCTGCACTTGATAAAGCGGCGCTTTCTGTTTTCTATTTACTCTCGAAACCTCTCTGATGTTCCTGCATTTGATGAAGCGATAGTGGATCTGGTTATGATTGATTTTAAATTAAAGAGTACACAGTTTATAGTAGTCCATGTGAATAAATCTGAATGTTTTTATTATTCAGTTCTTCTGTAAATCATTTTGAATGACTCCTTTTACCAAGATAGACATTGATCTTTCCATTATTATTCATGGAAAAGCGCAGAGTCATTCCATTTGTTATAAGAACAACGTGGGAAGTCAGAATTGACTCGCAATTGATCCTTGTCTCTCTAGTCGCAAATTTAATGATTATTCATCCGTCGAGCCAACTGATACTTGCAATCTCTTCAAGATGCTCCGACGTGTGCATCAGATTCGATCTCCGTTTGCGAAAATATTCCCTCCCGGGAGGGAATATTTTCCTTTAGCGATGACAACAATTTATTCGCGCAGTCAGTTATGTACATATCAATTGGCAATTTCCTGTGTTGCCCTATGAAAAGTGGCTATTGACCGAATCACCTGACATTTTCGAGGCTTCCATCTCGGCTTTTCTTCCGCGTCATTTCCAACCCGCTCTCGATGGATTTCTCGCTTCTCCATTCAGCTACATTGTCGCAGGTCACGTGCACTTCCACCGTGCACAATACCTTCAATTTTATCGACTTTAATCGACCGTCCCCTAATGTGTGATAATATTTCCTCGCGAAAATCGTCGTTCACATCTAGTTTTTTCGTTCTTTCGAGGTCTAGGAGTCTATAAGGGTTCACGTTACAAATCTAATGATTGATGCTTTGTTTTCGTTAGAAGATTACATTTTTCCTATGGTTTGTATGATCGACTCAACGTACATCGTATAGCTAATTGATACGGTTTTAAGCAACGTATCAGTCCTCGAGATGTTCTGATTTCTTGACTGTTTCACTGTCGGCAGTGGAAGGGTTCCGATGCCAGAGAACGGCCACCACGAAATTCCATGCTCTAAGAGGTTGGGCTCTCTATCATCGATCCATAGCGCTCTCAGGAGCCGTCTGGGAAAGTAGAATGTCTGGCATGGGACCGAGGATAGAGATAACAGGAGCTGGATTTGGTGCACGCGCCGAAACTTTCTTGAAAAAAAGAAGACTTAAGGCGTTCGAAAATCGTCGAGTCTCAACTTCGATCTTTTTCTTTGGACCGAGTGCGTCGACTCGGTTCACTTTCATTCTCGACTCTTCTCTTGTTCCTCTTCCCATGTTCCCTTTTACTCTGATCAACCGTGGCGTTCCTCGCGCGATCGACCATTTCCTTTTTCGTCGTTGGACTTGTGCATGCGAGAACGAGACAGGAAACGACGGTGGTCGTGGTTATTTTCGAACAGCTGCCTCGATACGAGGAAGCCATTGTTCCGCGCGGTCCTAGTTTGGCAGTGATCCTCGATGTCAGCCGGTCTAATAAAAGCCGGGTCGAGGCTTGCGAACCGACGCCGCCGATCGGAGTCGACTCTGATTCACCCTTGCAGGAACGGCCTGGATAAATGACTCGCTTTCGGTTGTACGTCATGCGAATTGACGGGTTCGAGAGTATCTGTGGTCGGATACCTCTTAATGCCTCCTTAGTATGTCGAATATCTTCATTCTACCGCTGGAGTTCTAGCTTCCTTGCTCTCAACCTCCCATTGTAAAATTAGTAATTAATAAAATGCATATTTTTGTAATCTACGCACTCTAATATGCACTTCTGATATTTTGCATTTTGTTATGCCTCGCAGCGTTTATATTTTTTGCACATTCAATTTTTTTATTGCATGAAATCCACTGTTTAGTAATTTTCACTGAAGATGTGCATGTTATAAAAAATAATAAGAATGTAGTTTTTAAGAGTCAGAGTTCCAAGGATGAAACTGAACACTTTTTGTCGGCTAGTTTAATTTTCTTAATGGTAAGAAAGAAGGCAGAGAATCTGCTCGCGATATATCGTATTACACGTCGGTGGTAGAGAGAAATCCGCAATATTTTGAAAAGTAATATCGTCCACGCATATTCCTAGCTGGAACATAGTTTAAGGGAGTTATCGGACTTCCGATGAGACTCTGAAAAGCAATATCTGTTCCGTGCATCACGTCTTAAATCCGGCTTCACCGGCAACCAGCGACGAATTCTGAAAGATAATATCACCTCGTCGCGGGTAGCAGAGATTACATGTACACGCTGTCTGAGCCATGATACGAAAATTGAAGTCGCGCAGAGGAACAATGGTTCTCATTAAATATAAAAATGTCTTTCGGATCATTACTTCACGTATTGATCTTTGTGTTAATTGCAATAACAAAAGTAGCACACTAGTACTGGAATATTCCAGCAAAATTGATAATTTTAATAAAAGGTATTACAATATAATTAGTGGCCATTAAAACATTGGTTAATTTTCTATAATCCGTTGGTACGATTCCGATAATAATTCTCTGGGACAGTGAATTCATTCAATGATTTAGCGAGGTATAAAAATGACTGATGAATTATTCCAGTCAAATATGATATTCCAGAGACGAATCTGTTATGTTTAAAGAGCACGTTTCATATGCACAAATCTAATGCATACGTAATTCGCGAATGAGAAATGCATGCTCGGTTTAATTAATACAATTTTGGGACATCTGTATCGTTAATCGGGTAGAGCAGGAAGGGCGGTAAAATCAATGCTCAGCACTGATTCGTTAATCGGACAGTTCGGAAGACGTTTCCCCATAAGATGCGCGGAGAAATGTTTGGCCGATGGCCGGTTGCCAGGCAGACACAATCCACGCTATAAATACAGGCGGACACCGGCAGCATGTCCCATCCCTGGGTCGTCGTTTCATTCCGTTCCGCGCGACTACCGTCGTCCCCGAACTTTTTCGTCCAGAGAGCATTCCGCGCTTCGTTAACACGGGCAAAACGCTTCGGATCGCTTTAGCGCGCGCCCGATATCGCGTTGAACCCGTCCGGAATTCCTTGCTGGACGTTAGGCTCCGCTCCTCCAAGCTAATTCGGATCCGCGCGAAGTAACGCGAACTAGACCGAGGCGAGGCGAAACACCGTGAAGCGGTAGCTAGAAATCGGGATTTCACGGGATCCACGAATCTCGAATGTAACTGGTAGAATTGAATAATTGGCCGTCGGTCGTGTTCAACGTGTTAATCATACGTAATTTTCCCCGACGTATCGAAATTATTTATATTTGTAATATTTTTGTCGAGGATACGTCAATTACGGTTTTATATTATTTCGTGGAAGGTCTTGTAAATTCTTCCGCTATTTCAATCCGCGGAATCAATTAGGTGCGAGGTTGTCCGATATTAGTTTCCCGATTTCCGTCGGGGGATAAATATCGTCGCAGCTAATCGATCGTGCCAACGTGACACGGGTAAGAATGTTTAAGGATTAAAGGCAGAAATGGTCGAGGATGTTTAATCGAGGAAAAATGAAGAAGACGGTGAATGGGAAGGAAAGAGGCGAAGAAAAACGAGAGGAGAGAAGCGTTTATTGGACGTTATTAAATGTAATGCCACGAGGCGTGCCCCCCTTTTGGGAACTTTACCGATAACTTCGTAATTCCCTAAAAGGATCCCCGACCACGGGACTTTCAAGACGTTCTCTGCCTCGTCACGATGTTTCCCTTCGTTCTAGCACCGGTTATTCCGCAGCTAGCCGAAGAATGGACCATTATGTCCTTCTCTTCTTCTTCTTCTTCTTCTTCTTCTTCTTCTTCTTCTTCTTCTTCTTCTTCTTCTTCTTCTTCTTCTTCTTCTTCTTCTTCTTCTTCTTCTTCTTCTTCTTCCTCCTCCTCTTCGTCATCTTTTTTTTCTTTTCTGCTTGTTTTTTAACTGTCCCCGTCAAAATCGATATCGAGCTCCCTTGTCTCATCGTCTGAAAAGCAGAACCTTCTCTAAACATTAGACACTCGCCGCGATAACTTCTCTTCCACGTCGCCGTCTTAATTCCGCATTCGTCAAATAAACTCAGAGAATCTCTCCTCTCTGTTGGTCTTTTTCAGATTTCGTCGCGATTGCGCGAGTTATGAAAATGTTTGCTTCTCATTATTCGAAAGCTCATTAAGGTATTATCGAGAAAGAATCTAGTCGAGGTCTGTGAAGGACGTGTAAACTTTGATTCGTTTCTTAAACGATGATACTGCGAGAATTACTGACGATCAGACGAATAACGGTGTAACGATTCGATTAGCTGTTCATCGAAGAAGTTTCTCGAGGAGGGAAAGCTGGCCTAGTGTCTTGATTAAATTTTCGCCAGGATCCTAAGCCGTTTGCCGATAGGCACGGATTCAAATTTAAATTCCGTTCGAGTTTTAACTAGTCCAAACTTCGTTTGAGAGTCAATTGATTCGGTGTCCCGCGCATTCGCCCGGCGAATAAATTCATTTAAACGCACAAACTGCTATGCATTCTCATTTGCCTGAAAATAGCCTCGTGGTCCAACAATGAGAACGGTATAATTAACGGGAGAGCCGGGAATGCGCGAAATAGTAACGCTTCAATTGACTAATAAGCCGTTTCATTTTCCATTCTGCGCCAGTCACAATTTTTTTGCCAACCGACGATTTTCTATTCGTCTTTTCAAAGAATTTAGTCAAGAACGTTTCTATTCTCCTCTATCAAATTGCACTAGCGTCACTACTCCGGTCTAATTATAATTCAACCACGCTTCCGCCACGTAACGTTATCTCTTATTCAATTTCCAGTGTGCAGTCAGGGTGATAAAATCACGGTGATAGTCGTGAGGGACACATATGGTAGCTGCGACGCAACATCGTACCGGTGAGTAGAATTATTACTCGTTCGTTTTAAACGTATCTCATTTAATTGCACCTCTCTGTAACATTAAGGCTAAAAGATTTTATTCTAATATCGTTTAGTTTCGTTAAATGAACTCCATAGAAATATGAGTGGGGCTCGTTTGAAAAGTTTCGCGATTTAAACGATGTACACGTCTCGTTCATTTTATCACGTGAATATCGAACGAAACGAATTGTGGTCAGCACGGACGGTGCTCGGATGCGGAAAGACTTTTTTTGCGATCGGGCCGTTTAGCGACTGAGAAGTGGCTTATAGCGCGGCCGTGTAGCAGAAGTGGCGTGTTTGGACTAAATCCGCAGTACTCCGGCTAAGAGCCATGGCGTGTAGCCGTAATGGCAATGTTGACGAGTGAAATTTACCTGAAAATCACGTTACCCGCGAAGTTTCGTCGGACCAGTGTTTCTACTAAGGGGGATGGGGAGGAAACGAGAGAGAGATAGAGTTTAGCATGGAAAGCAGAACGCGATACACGAGCGCCCGTACAAACGGGTTCGCTCTAAAATTGAATCGGGACCGCGTAAAGAAAGATAATACGTATAGTCGGTCGAAGAATTCTAGTAAAACTGAGAATGTTCCTCTCAAGTTCGTACTATCGAAGTCTAGCATAAGTCATACTGAAGAATTGAACACCTATACCTGCGAAATCTCTATAGGAAATTGAAGTGCAAGCTTATTGAACAAACGCAAAGTTTCGGAGATCTGACGTGTAAATGTATATTGCATTTCATATATCGCGATTTCCTCGCTTATTGAACAAACGCAAAGTTTCGGAGATCTGACGTGTAAATGTATATTGCATTTCATATATATTTTCTACTTCCGGAAGTTTGCAATTTTAATGATAATAAGCAATGACTACTTTACTCTTGAATGAATTCTCGGAAGTTAATATTATTAAATGAACTCGGGTGTCGAGAACGAAACTTGTAACAGTATTCGAACGTCTTCCCTGAATTTATAACAGCACTAGAATTTTTCCATCGACTATACTGGTTCTTCGGAACTACGAGGCATTTGAAGTGTCCTTAACGAAGTCTCGCGGCAGAGTGGAGATTGAAATTGAATCTTGCGGCACAATCATGTCCCGCCTTTCCCCGTAGTCGCAATATTTCTCGTTGTCCTATGCATACTTGTTAGGTTCCCATCCTCGAACAGTGCTTCGGAGAAGTTTCCCTGCGCAAACTGACTTCTTCTAAGACAATCCATATTTCATAGTCGCCAAGCTGTTTTTAAGATCAGTTGACAGCGTGTTGAATTTTCAATTGACGTGATTCATTCCATTTTACAAAATTACATGGGAAACACTTTTTGAAAATTCATAAGATGGAAAATTGACTGAGAGCAAGGGGGGCTTGCATTAATTGCGTTTAACGTTGCGTAGGGGAAGCAAATTTAACAACCTTAATTTAATTCATCGTGGCTACATTGAAATTGCATGCGTCGTAATATTGTGCACGCCGGGTATATCAGTGCACCGGTATTACTGTTTATTTATTTCGTGTCCACTTGTCCCAGATTTTCGTTCCACGCGAAGCTATTTTCAGTGCTTTTCACTTTATTGCTACCTGCTTTGCGACGTATTTTTGCATATACTGTTTTCGGTATCATCGGTCCGAACGTTTCATATAATAGGCCGTATATAATTAATAGACATACCTCAGAACATCGTGTCCACTTGTCCCAGATTTTCGTTCCACGCGAAGCTATTTTCAGTGCTTTTCACTTTATTGCTACCTGCTTTGCGACGTATTTTTGCATATACTGTTTTCGGTATCATCGGTCCGAACGTTTCATATAATAGGCCGTATATAATTAATAGACATACCTCAGAACGAAGATATTAAGTAGCATAATGGAACATCATAAGGAAATAGATCTGAATCACGCGGAAATAGATCAGAATCTAAATTTTAGGCGGTGTTAATAAATGTTCATTAGAAGATTAATTATTTTCATCACTTATTTACTGGTGGAATGAATGTAGGTCGCGCGTCGCACGCTTTCGTTATTAACAGTCAGCGTTTTAATGTTCCCTTGAACCTATATGCATACATATTCACGTTTCTTGAAAAAGCTGTTTCACGGTGAAATATCGAAAAATGTTGGTCCGCGCAATTTGCTCTCGATACGTATATATCAACTGGCCGTTTTCACGATTCACGCGAGCGTGGAATTAATTAAAAATGTACGGCGTAGAGTACAATTAAAAATATCGGACGGTAGTACCATTATTAAACGTTCTCTTAATTTAAAAATACCTTGGACGTTGTTACAAACGCGCGATGAAATAGATATTCTGTGGAATTGATTACGTGAAATCGATACGGCACGCTTCGATACAGTGTGTAACTTTTAGAGCCGGAAAGCGCTTTGATCGATGCGAGTTCTCCCGGGTCTGTTGAATTTAAAATCTTCACTTTTCGTCTCGCGGGGCAAGTTAATAAATCCTGATCCGCGATATTCGATGAAATATTAAATTTAATTAGTATACTCGTTTTTGTTCACTGCAAGAGTTATTCCAATTTCATTCTATCTTTGTTATTCTGATTTTAAATACATTGTCGCATGGAAAGTTTTTTTATAAGACAGTGGATCCTTTATAAATTATATCTTTTAGCAAAGATAGTTTAGTGATAGAAAATAACGATAGAGGACAGGTGATAAAAGTCGTAGTACCGCGCAAACAGCGTTAGGAATGGTTGAGAAGTCGTTGATCCGAGCGTGGATGGGCGTTAGCGAGTGGGTTTCTATTAGCGTTGAAGCTTAGCTTTGAAATCCGTGCAAATTGAGCCGCGTATCCTCCGTCTTAGGAAACTCGTGTGTTTCCTCTTTGAAATTCGCGCACCACGTGCTGCAACAACGACCGAGTAAGTGGATCGTCGCCGGCTTAATCGATTATCCACACTGTTATGCGACAAACGTATTTCCCGCGATTACTATAACAGGCTTTCATCTACGTTTTAGGCAACGTCCATTAACGAAATTACGCCGTTTGCATACGAAACAGAACGTCGCTCCTGACGCTTTCTATCTCTATCCTTTGGCTTAGAGGGGATTATGGGAAAGCGTCGCCGACAAGGGAAAAGTCTCCATGAGCCACTCCGTTCTTCTTAGTTCTGTATCACTCCTTAATTCCTTGTAATTGGAATACTTTCTCTCTTATTGCTTGTGGTTAAAAGAAATCGCATTTAACCTTGTTGCATTTATTTTAACGTTCATGGATTAATCCTGTCGTATTTAGAAACGATAGAGGACAGGTGATAAAAGTCGTAGTACCGCGCAAACAGCGTTAGGAATGGTTGAGAAGTCGTTGATCCGAGCGTGGATGGGCGTTAGCGAGTGGGTTTCTATTAGCGTTGAAGCTTAGCTTTGAAATCCGTGCAAATTGAGCCGCGTATCCTCCGTCTTAGGAAACTCGTGTGTTTCCTCTTTGAAATTCGCGCACCACGTGCTGCAACAACGACCGAGTAAGTGGATCGTCGCCGGCTTAATCGATTATCCACACTGTTATGCGACAAACGTATTTCCCGCGATTACTATAACAGGCTTTCATCTACGTTTTAGGCAACGTCCATTAACGAAATTACGCCGTTTGCATACGAAACAGAACGTCGCTCCTGACGCTTTCTATCTCTATCCTTTGGCTTAGAGGGGATTATGGGAAAGCGTCGCCGACAAGGGAAAAGTCTCCATGAGCCACTCCGTTCTTCTTAGTTCTGTATCACTCCTTAATTCCTTGTAATTGGAATACTTTCTCTCTTATTGCTTGTGGTTAAAAGAAATCGCATTTAACCTTGTTGCATTTATTTTAACGTTCATGGATTAATCCTGTCGTATTTAGCACCTTTTTTTTATATCCTATTAAATAGTTTTTATATTCATTATATAAACACGTCGACTGCTTATGTGGAAGAAAAAGAACGAAATGCAATTCGCAAGTTGGAGATGTTCTTAATTGGGCGATCAAGGTTTTGCGGGTAATTGGGTTGAAGGAGTCCTGTAACTAGTTTCGGAATTAATTGGAACCAAGGATTAAAGAGGGATTATAGCTCGGTTCGAGAATCGGTTCAATTAAACTTTTTCGGTTCATAACCGAACAATTTCAGTAAACGATAATTGATTTCGGACTATTTTGTTTTTATACAATTGATGAAGTTTTGATAAAAATTGGGGCGAACGATTTAGGATATTTTCTTATTGCTGGTTTTTTTATTCATTTCTTGCTCCCTCCGCACTTGTTCGCTCATCCGTTTAGCCCGTCTACCCGTTCTGAAAATCGGTCGTATGCAATAAACTTTGTCGGAACTGCTTGGGACGAGTTTATTTTCACGCCACTCTGCTTCGCCTCGCCTCGTCTGGAGTGCGCGGCGTGTTGTCATTTCCTCTTTGCCTTTTCCTCGTTTTCGGTTATTTTGCCTGTCCCAGCTATCTAGTCAAGGGAGACAAACCTTGTGAAGGCGCTTATACTCATTACCAGAGCCGTTCGTTGCCTTGGGAATTAATTTAAGATTTCACGAGTTATCGAGGGGGAGGATTTTCCGGAAATTTCGCGTGCGGCGAATCTCGTCGAGTAATTCCTCGGTGACTGTCGATCGGAGTTATTCCTGAAAAAATATTTGTGCTTCTTATTATCGAGGAATATAAAGCAGGATATAATAATACGAAATGGAACATTTTATTATGAGAACGTTGAACGAAGTTCGATGTACATTTGCAGTAATACTAAGTACATTATGGGCGAAATAAATTTCCGAAAACTATTTCCAAAGTACATCCTGTAACGCACATCCTCTGTAGCTAGGCAAGGTTCATGGTCGTTATGTACTGTGTGATTATCGAACTAAGCTCGCTTCAATGCGAAAACTCATTTCGAATCCCGTTTTCAAACTTCGTACTTCGCACAGAGTATCTTGGGATTGTACAAAGCACAGATAAGTTTTCAACAGCAGATGAGTATTAAA